GTTGACAAAGACACCGACAACCAAAGTGGTACGTTGTTGTTTTTTACCCCCCAAACAAATTTGCAGAACGAAATGCAAATCACACAAATGGGATTAGCAGCAATTAATCACAGCTGTTCAATCTGCCTGCTCACCTACATGTGTCATACGTTGGTCTACAACGAGCAAGAAGACGGGTTTGGAGATGTTAAAGGCTGGCAAATAAGTATTTAGCAGAACTGTAACAGCTAACAGGACTCAAAACTCAAAAAGAAATACATGAAAAGGGTTGAGAAAAGGAAATAGAGCACACGCAGCTCCTCACCGACTTGGCTTGGCTATTAAATCCACTTAAAATGTACAGAGTCCTTTCTGCAAATCAGCTTTGTATTTCTGCTTGATTGCTGAAAAAGATTTTCTTTGCTTCGTGTTTTAAAGCTGAACAAGGACCGTGGCCTTCATTAACCACATGAGGCCGTGTGAGGTTTGACATCACGGTCCTCTGTGGGAATTTTATCTCTGGTACACTGATAACGTGGACATTCAATCCAAACACTAATCAGCATCTAGGTCTGAGTTCACTTTTTTACTGATGTTACCTTCACTTGGCTCGTTTGTATTTCTTCTAACCACCCATCACAAGTGAAGCTAAGTTAGGGATGCAGCGTTGGGGTTGTTGTTTCCATAGACTGTATAAAAGATGGACGTAGCAACCAGCCCTGAAAAATGAAGCCAACCCGGAAGTGTCAAAAACCTACGTCCGCTAGCTGCCGGCTCCAAAAAGCCCTGGCTCCCATAGACTGGAACTGGAAAAGAAGTGATCACAGATCACAAAATACCGCATTCCTACAGCTCAGGATTTTTGTCTTATTAGTTTTCATGGTCAAATCCAGAGATCAGGTGGCCAATCTGAAAATAAATCAGCACTGAATTTTTAAAAAATCGTCAACATTTTGCGGTGCAAGGGGCGTGGCTGGCTTGATTGACAGTCGGCAGCGACGATACAGACGAAGCGAGCAGAAGGCGGTAAATGTGGGCGGGGCAGAGAGGGCCCGCCTCTCAATCCATCTGACCAATCGCTGCTCCTATGGCTCCGCCCCCCTCCGACGATTTTTGCGTCACCAAAAATCCAAGATGTCAACCAGGAAGTAGCAAAACCCTGGCTTCATTTTCTCAGTGCAGAAACCAACGGGTGACGTCACGGTAGCTACGTCCATCTTTTATACAGTCTGTGGTTGTTTCCTGTAGCATCGTGGATTTTGAAACTTGCAGAAGGAGAGGTCAAAGGAAATGAGCAGGTAATGGCAAAGACCTTTAATGGCTTCTGAAGAACTGATAAAATACCATCAATGCTCTCAAAGGCAAGACTTAGAATGAACCAATACAAGAGTGCTACAAATAACTGCAATATATGAAGAGCTTATTTGCAAAAACTAAGTTTTTGTAGATTTAAGAAAACTTATTTTGTTGTTGTTTGTTTGAGACGATATCAATATAACTGAAGTTGTGTGGATTTGACTCAGTAGAAATGACAAAAATAGAGATAACTGAAGTTTGATATTTTCTCAGGTAGACGATGGAAGCGTGAGGTTTCTGAAGGAGTTATCTGTTTTAGCAAAGGAACTCTTTATATCTAAATATTGGAGGCGTAGCATTCTATTAACATCTTTACAATATATGGTATATTATAGTGCATTTTTGATACGACTACCTCAGCTTGTTTAGTGCTTTTAGGTAAAATTGGAACACTCAGACTACCCTGGTTCAAGCTCAGGGCTGCTTTTGTGTCCCCAAACAGTCCCTGATGTCAGGCAAACCATTTCTGTACTCAGATATCTGATGTTCTCTACCATTTATTTCCATCTCTGTCTCTTCCCGTCCTTCCGTTTTCAGTGTTTCTAACGGTGCTTATCCTCCAAATCAGTCAATTCAAGCACACACACAGAGTTCACATTGTTTTTCAGAGATAATTAGTGCAGTCGCTAAAGTCACGGCCTCCACACGAGAGGACAAACCAAAAAAAAACACGAGTTCCTTCTGCATTTATTTAAAGTCAAGGATAAAACAGACTGAGTCGAGTCGCTGCCATCTGCAGTGACGGACGACCTGCCAGAGACGGACCTGTGTGTGTGCGCAGAGATGATGTAGATGTCTGTGAGCGCCGTGAGGGTCGTGTGTGTACGATTTATTATATACAGGAGGTGAGGAGTGTGTGGGAATACGAGGGCCTGGAGGATGCTGGCAGCGCAGGAGAGAGCTGATTCACCAAAAGATCGCAATGGTGTCAATTTACAAATGCCAAACGTGTTAATATTCATGATTTGGACAATAAACCGAGCTTATTTTTTGAGCTGCATCCTGATCAGAAGCCTCTTTATTGACTAGCTGCAAAGGATTTTGTAGCAGAAATCCTTTCTGTTAACACCGGCTGATAAATTGTAATCACATTTTTTTTTAAACCCTGTTATGGGATTTAATGTGATTGAGATTAGTGTCGGACCTCAGACTGCAGACAGTTTAAACCACACAGAGAGCATCTGCTGAGCCAGCTGACCAATCAAAGGCCGACGTGTTGCCTCCATCAGGCGACGGCTGCAGCTCAGACCTCGTTCCCACAGATCAAGATCACAACCGACGAAAGGCAGGCCGCCTCAATCAGCCGGCCAGTTTACAGCACGCTCAGCGCCGTGTCGGCCAAATCACACACTCTTCCTCCGCAGCCGCTAAACCAGAGCCGACCTGGAGCTCCGCAGCCCTGCTTTAACACAAACAACGCTTCCTGTCCGAGGCTCTGGGTCTGTTTCGGCCCACGTGTTGGAACCTGGGAGAGCTCCAGGTGAGCAAACACGACTAATTTCTACAAATAAACAGCTGAGATGCAGTTTGGATCGACTGATTAGCCAGATCTGACCAGAAACACAGAGCAGCAGCATCCAGATGTGAGGAGTTTAGGCTGTTGGCTAAACATTTACTTTGTGTGTGTGAGGGGGGGGGAGGTGATCACGACGGCATCTGGACGTCGTTTCATCCTGTCAAACAGATCTGAGCTGCAGGACACCAACACATATCAGACTGGTAAAATACTGCTTTCAGATATTTCTAAGAGTTTGTTTAAATCACTCCGCGGCACCGGGGGGGAAGAGGTTTAACTATTTATGATTGACAGATGAGTATTTTGAAAGCTGTGATTAGGTGATTCAGCCAAATCTCATCCAACAAAAACTCTTTCCTTTGGTATCCAGGTTGTTATTTATCTGCCTTTGAGATTTTTCTCTCCACCTGCATACTACTTTCTAAATTATTTTGTTTTAATAGTAAGTGCACAAAAGGTAAATAAGGATGTTTTTTGTTCTTCTTGTAGTTTGTTGAGCTGATCCTTTAAATAAATAACCCCCTGATCTGTGGGTATTTGACTGTGTTATTGCCTCAGAACACACTCTTCAGCAGCCTTTTTTTAAATTACAAAACTTTCTGTGACATTAGAGAAACAGTTCATTGGATTTCGGCCTCACGTCATCGTGTTAAACTGAGAGTTAAAAATTTGTCTGACAGCGTTCGAGTGCAGATAGTTTAATTTTGGAAAGCAGATGTGAGCAACTGATGAGCACATCAGAAAGTGGTGATGAGTGCAGATAATTGGGAAGATCCAATTAAAGGACTGAGACAGTTTTTTGCCCTGATTTGTGTCTTCCAGGCATGGCTCACTCCAGATGAGTCTGATGTCTTTTAAGCTTGACCAAGCCGGTTTTCCTAAACCACGACACTGAATGATTACAGCAAACAGCTGTGCACACTACATGGCCATGTGAGTGTGGTATCGCTTCAGACAGAATTAAAAAAATGAATAAATCCAAAGCCAAATAGTTGCTTTAACCTCAACCCAGCCTTCAACACAAAGGTGGCATATCAGGCAGTGGCACATACCTATGTTGTCCTTTAGGTTGAGTGACCTCTATTAATCCAGATGGGAAATTGCAGTTTTGCAAAAGCCAAGCCAGCAGAGCGAACCGAATTCGGCACTTTTGTCAAATGCTTTTAACCGTCTGAGTAATCAGCTTCAGTCAAGGTCACATCCAGGCCTGTTGCTCAAGCATCAGTCCTGTAGAGGATGACCATGTGTGTGTGAGTTAACTGACTTTTGAAAGTACAATCTGTGTGTTAAGATGTGTTTACTCTGTCTCACCTCATACTGCTGAAACACTGTCAATTCTGTTTGTCCTTTAACAAGCTGCTGGCAACACACACGGTCTGTCAGTCTGTCTGTCTGTGTGTGTGTGTGTGTGTGTGTGTGTGTGTGTCTGTCTGCCTCACAAACACAGTCATACACTCTCACACACACACTTGGCAGTGTTGTGTCGAGTGTCGTAAGGAATGAATGAAAGAGTGGAAAGTAGCCGGTGACGGTTGAGGTCGATTCAAACTCTGCTGGAAAAAAGCCAACACACTGACACTAACACACACACACACACACACACACACACACACACACACACAAGCACAGAGCTCAATGAATGAACACCACTCAGTCCTTGGAGGAATAAACGTGGACAGGAATCACTGCTGCAGCTGTTAGAAAGACTATGAAACACACCACAGACAATAAGCTGATTTCCACACCACTCTGTCCACATGTTGTGGCCACATCAATGCTCTGACCTCACACTGCTGACCTTTGAGTCCTGTGAACACTTTGGGATACCTGAGACAATATAAAAAAAAGTTGAGCACCACACTGATTCCACCTGGTTTAGTCCGAGCCCAAAACCAAAACACTTTCATGACCATCCTTAATCTGAGTTAGACTCCATCAGGTCGCTGTTAAAGTGATTAAAGGCTTGATCCTACACAGTCGCCCAAAACACTTCATTTTCAAGCTTCGTCAGTAAATCCAACTTAGTGTGCACACGATGCATCAGCGGCACCACACTTCCAACCCAGAACCACACCGTGCAGGTGAACCTGGTTTCTTTGCGCTTTTACGCACGAAAAGGAAGAGAGAGAGAGAAAAAAAGCGTTCTTACCTCGGAGGTTCTGGATCTTCACCACCACCTCGGCGGGCTCCCGCAGACTGCGCGCCAGGTACAACCGCCCCGAGTCCCGCTCAATCTGGACCGGAGAGTCCGCCTCGGATATCACCTCGAACCACTTCTGATCGAACCTCTGGTCGGGCACCGTGAACACCAGGTCACCGACTCTGACGTGGTCTGGGACGGTTACCGTGTAGGTCAGCTCCTCGGACAGAGCCCGGGGTCTCCGCCGCGCTCTGTTGGACCGGCGGACGTCGATGCGCAGGAACACCGGGTCACCGACCAGCGCTACATCCCCGCCGTCCTTCACGTACAGGCGCAGAGTCACCTGGCTGACCCCAATTAGGGATCCGACAAGCCTCACCTGCCCAGTTTGCGGAACCACGTGGAGCAGGTACGACTCCGGCGACGCGTAAAAAGTGACACGTCCGTTCCTCTCCGCGTCACCGTCCTTCGCGTCAAAGCGGGCCAGCTCGGTTCCGAGAGGAGTCAGTTCATCTACCTCAACCGTCTTGTTCCCGCTGGTGAACCGGGGGATGTTGTCGTTCCTGTCCGACACTTCGACCTGGATGGCGGCTGGTCTCCTCAGACACCGAGGCGACAGCTCCACAGCCAACTCATACATCGCTATAAATTCCCGGTCCAGAGGTTTGGCGGAGATCAAACCCAGATGACCCCTGTAGTCCCGATGTCCGTGGTAGTGAACAAGCCGAAAATCCGACGCGTAATCCCCCTTTAGGCTGGCTTTGAGGTCCGCACCGTGGCAGCCGGCGGCTCCGAGCGAAATCACCACCCCGTCCACCGGCGTCCCAACCGGAGAGTTCTCGGCTATTTTGCCGAAGTACCGCGCAGGATGCCCCGGCTGCGCGGACAGACACACCGGTGAGACATGAAGCAGCAGCAGCGGGAGCAGGTGGAGGATGTTCAGGAGAACCGGTCCGGTTACAGCTTTGGTCATGTTTCCATCCAACCCGTTTAACTTGCAAAAGACAGAAGACAGAACCACGAGAGCGGATCTGTCTCGTAGAGTGATCCAATTTGAGAGCAATTTACGCTTAAAAATAAAGTTTATTAAACGATTCCCCTAAACTGATACTAATTTGAAGCGCTGGATCCGTTCTGATGAGTAAAGAAGAGCTCAAAGTCCATCCAGAGCGCAAAAAAGGAAAATATCAGCGACACTATGGAGGCGATGGTTAATTAATAATTCGACCAAAAGGAACTTTTACGCACAAACGAAAAAAAAAAAAAAGTTTACTTCTCCACTGTGTCTGGGGGGAAAAAATCCAGTCACATCAACACAACTGCGCGTAAAAATAGAATTCAGAGTATGTTTGTCTCACTTCATACGTTTTCCCGCACAGATGATGCAGCTGATGCGCCAAGTTGCTCCAGAGCGTCCGGAGCGACTCCACCGGAGGATGGATCAGACTAACTGGCACAGAGATACCCAACTGGCTCCATGTGGCTCCGTCGACACCGCCCACTGCCCCGGAGAGGAGGACACCCAATCACGAAGCAAAAAACGAGCTGAGTGACAGGTCCGGGGACCCGCCCACTGACAGGCTGAGTCAGCTGATGGAGAGAGAGAGAGGAGAGGAGACAGAGAGAAGGGGTTTGTGGGTAACATTAAACACCAATTCGAGGCCATCACACCCCATAATTGCCATAATCATCTCTATCAGGTCATGATAAGCGGGGTAGATAGACACAGAAATGCAATACTGTGATCTACACACCAGCTAAACTCATTTATTTGTTCAAAATGAAACTTATTGGGAAAGCCTGCTGTTGTTCAAGCAGCTGTAATCAGATTTAAATGTGTCATGTTTCATCCCACTTCTCTAATTTCTAGAAAACAATCTCTTGCTTTCTTGCAAACCAATCTGCAGCTACAGTAGAAATTAATGCATCTTTGTATGAACTAAAACAAGCCGGAGATGGAAGTAGCTATTTTTTTTTCCCAGTTGGTGATTGGCATGTTATATTACCTCGCTACAGTGTGAAAGATGCTCCCAATTTTGCACATTTCTGCCTCTCGTATCAAATGCCCAAAGTTTCTTAATTTTAATCGACAGTAATAAGTCGTTTCCGCGAGAGAAACCGCAACGAACGTGTGATTTGTGAGTTATAAGTCACGACAGCAGCGGCACACAATCAGCAGGAGTCATTCTCCTCTGATAGGGAGTGATGTCTGTCAGCCGAACATGAATGGCGCGACAGTTTTATTTGCCGCATCAAGTAGAAGAGAAGCGACACACCAGCAACCAGTAGAGGCTCAGCGCTCAAAACATGCCACCTTCTGAATGACTGTAAATTTCTCAAACATCGTCTTCTGCCTTCTACGAAAGACGAGAAGGAGAAACACCTCAGACGATTCGTTTAAAACCACTGCTGAAAAATAAATAAAAGCTTTACTGTATGATGTGACAACAGTGGTTTGGTAAAAGTTTAGTCAAGGCACAAAAACAACTTGGTTAGAAAGCTCAAGTTTTGGGTTTGTGCTCTGTAGGATGATCGACATGCAGTTAAGTTTGTGAAAGAGCGTCATAGTTTTTTTTAAAAAAGAAGTGTACAATCACTTTTAAAGGTAAACGAACAACAGTTTACTGTTTAAAAGTCTGACGTTTTGACCCATCCATCCACCCCGACCTCCTCTCTTTTACCAACTTTGTGGCACAGAAACAAGGCCACCTGGTTTAGCCCTTTGCTTCTGTCATCTTCTTCTATTTGGTTCACTCGCTGTTGCTGTAAACTTGCTGAACGTTACCTCACACTCTCCTACACATCACCTTGAAATAAAACTTTCAATTCAATTTTCAATTCAATTTCATTTGTATAGCGCATATTTACAACAACAAGTCATCTCATAGCACTTCACAAAGGCAGAGACAGAAACACCCAACAATCCAAAACATTTGGATTCCCTATAAGCTTCAGCAGTCTGCAACAGTGGGAAGGAACCGAAAACCCCCGTGGGGGAAAAAAAAACCTCCGACAGAACCAGGCTCAGGGAGGGACGGCCATCTGCCTCGACCGGTTGGGTGGATGTAGGATGAATTATAACATTTAGTTTACAG